TGGGACCGGTGGGTGTGAGGGGTGTCGGGGCGCAGGGCAGCGGCCAGGGGTGGGTGCTGGCCCGGGTAGAGCCGCAGGGGGCTGAGCTTGCTTGTCCTTCCCCCTAGAATGCAGCGGTGGCCGGTGCTGCTCTTCCTGGCCTGGGTCTGCTTTCTCTTTTTTGCTGGTATCGGCCTCTTCATGAGCGGCTTCCTGCTCACCCGGATCGAGCTCGCCAGCAGCAGTTCCTGCTCAGACCCGCTCGTGCCACCACCCTGGGAGAGGCAGAGCCTCCCACCGGGCTCCTGTTGGGCACCCCAGCGCTTTGCCAAGGCCGTGCTTGTCATCATCGATGCTCTCAGTTTTGAGTTTGCCCACTTTAACCCAGCCAAGGCCAGCCCGCTGCCCTATGAGAACAAGCTGAGTTTCCTGCATCGCCTCGCAACCTCCCAACCCCACCATGCCCGCCTCTACCGCTTCCGAGCCGATCCCCCCACGGCCACCATGCAGCGCATCAAGGGCCTCACCACCGGCTCACTGCCCACTTTCATTGACGTGGGCAGCAACTTTGCCACGTATGCAATCCAAGAGGACAACCTGCTGGCACAGCTGGTGCAGAACGGTAGGTGGGCAGTGGCGGTGTCCTGCTGGGACAGGGCACATGCAAGCCGGTGGTCAGCACTCACGTGGGACCTTTATTCCCCTCTCCCTGGGAAGGTAACTGCTTACAACACCTCCGCCCCGTCAGCTAATTCTTTTGCCCTACTCAGTTGACAGTTGTCTCAGACAGAGCTGTCAGTCAGGCAGGGTTTCTCCGTTATGTACTAGGAGTAAGAAGTAGCTGGGACCACGGCTTCATCTTCATCATCACCTTCAAAGATGATGAGAAAGTAGGTGAAAAGTGGTTGTACTGACGTGAATGTCAGAAGGTCACTGCCAGGAACGGCTCTACAAAGCCAAGGGCAGTCAGTCGTGTCGTGTTGTGTTTGCGTTCAGCTGAGACGCGTGACGAGGGAGGAGCTGGTGCCAGGTGTGCTGTGGGGTGTCACTCAGGCAGCAAGCATGCCTGGCTAGCTGCCTGCTGCTGTTTGGCAGTGACCCCATCACATTTTCTGTATAGCTTGGTGCCACTGTGGTGTGCTTAGTTCAGCTGTAAAGGGCCTGTTAGGGTGGGATGATGGAATAGAGAGAAGGGGACAGGACTCAGTCTTCTGTTACCCAGAGAGACTTCCTTCCAAGGCTCAGAGTGGGACAAATACCAGTGCCTGGAATGAGGTGACACTCCCCTGTGTGCAAGTAAGGTGGGCAAACACAGTAAATCATCCGAGGTGAAAAACAGTGGTGACGCTGCGCCAGAGGAAATGGTTCCTGCTCCCAGGCTGGAGAGGCTTTGTGGAAACATGGAGGGTGTGCTTGTGGCAGGCAGGACATGCAGAGTGAGGGCAGCAGGGAAACATCAGTGCTTTTGCCTTCTCTTTTCTGCCTATGAAAACCCACCACCGATGTGTTTCAAGTTGGAGCCCAGGACTCACAGCTTCTACTCAGCCCTTGTCAGCAGCCGTCTACTGCCTTGTGTTTTACAGTGGGGTCATGGGCCTTGGGTGAGGGTTTGTCTGCTTTGCACTGCACCTTCCTAAGTGCTGCTGTAGTATGGGTGGGTACCTGCATGATTCCTGGCCCGTTCAACCCATGGGTCTTTCTGCAGCAGTGACGTGTCAGAGGTCAATGATGAGTTGCAGGTGGGTTTGGTGTGGGGGGCACTTGTAGGCTTAGAAACAGGGCTGGTCACTCCCCGTATTCAAACTCATTTCCAGCCAGATAGTAATTTTAATTGTAGGTAGGTTTTGAGTGTGGTTTGGAGAGGACCCAGTGCTCCAGACCCTGACCTGGATCTGCCCAGGCTCTTTGAGCTAGTGAGGGTAACAGCATGACTTGCATGGGCTCCCTGCTCTCATTAATTCCTTTCTTGCTGCCTCAGGAAGGAGAGTGGTCTTCATGGGTGATGACACTTGGGAAGGACTCTTCCCAAAGAAGTTTTTCCGCTCGTATTTCTTCCCTTCTTTTAACGTGAAGGACCTTCACACTGTGGATGATGGGATCCTGCAGCATCTCTATCCGACTGGTAAGCAGCTCTTCCCCCAGGGCCTGGGTAACCCTTTACGCATGCAGGGGTCCTGCTGCAAGTTTGGGGTAGGACTGAAGAGTTTTTTCTGTTACTGAGTGGCACTGGACAGTCACACACTGCGGCCCGGGGATTACAGTGGATTTTTCTAGCTGGATTTCCACAGATAAGCCAGTTTTTTGGGCCCGTAAAATGTTTCTGTAAATACCTTTCCTCCATTTGGGAGAGAGTGCAGCTTGATGGGATGAGGCTAGACTTCTACATCTGTCCTAGAAATATACTGCCAGGAAGGAGCAGCTTAACATTGACATGTGGCTGGCCGGGCAGGCACACAGTGCTCTGGGAAATACACAACAGTGCAGCTACCTGCCGGGAGGCTGGGGCACAGCACTGCTCTCAGTAGAGCATGGGTGGCTTCTAGTCTTGGGAAGCAGGTGAAGTGTGAGATTGGTTTGTGAATTTTAGGTGATTTCAGACTCTTCCCTGAGGTCCTGGGACTGACGAGAATGCTGTTGGCTTTATCTGTGTATGAATCTAAGTGAATCAAGGGTGCAGTGGCCTTTCATGGGGAAGTCCTTGTGCCTTGTGGGAGAGCTGCAGTTCATCATTTAACTCCAAATATGTTGGTTGTCATGTGTCAAGCAGAGGGGAGAGGCCAGGATAACTTTCTAGCTAGGCACGGCGTCAGTGTGCCGGGCCTGTGTCTTGAGTGGGATGCAGAGGGGCGTGTTGATGAGTCCGACCTGAAATACCTCCGGGGGGGACTGGAGTTCTGGATTCTCCTTTTCTTAAGCATCCCCTTGGTTTAGCTCAGTTTGCAGCAGTTTGAGTTAAGGGTATTTCAAGGTGGTTTGGGTGACACTGGGCCATTCCTTTCCTGAGGGGTGGTGAACAAAACCTATGGGTACTGAGCAGCTTCCCGGGCATGGAGCTCCCCGCGGCATTGCACCCAGACACCCGCAAACGAAGAGTGTGCCTCTGTTAAAACCTGCATCAATCTACTTGAGAGCTGGGAGTGACAATGGAAGGAGGGGAAGAAACAGCAGTTTCCATAGGCAACTAGAAAGCTCTGGCAGGAGGATCCAGCCATAGAGCCCGTGCCTGAATCCCAGGCTAGTGTATGGTAAGGCTGCTCTTGTTCTGCAGTGGACAGTGGTGAATGGGACGTGCTGATTGCTCACTTCCTCGGCGTGGACCACTGTGGGCACAAACATGGACCTGACCACCCTGAAATGGCTAAGAAGCTCACCCAGATGAATGAGATGCTCAGGTGATTAGTGCGGCGGTGGGGGGTTGCCAGCTGGCCTCTTCCTTCAGCCAGGCTTGGTGGGGCCTTCCCAGGGAGTTTGCAGATGCAGAGGGCAACAGGGGATGCTTACTGTGCCTGTTAACACAGAGAGCAGCTTTGGCCAGCAGCAGCTGAAACCCCCGCTGTGGGGCAGTCTCCGTTGCATAGACACATGTTCATGAGAGGTTTGGTTTCAGAGGTAAGGCTGTCTTCAGTTCCTGAAGCCTTGGTTCTCAAACAAAACATCAAGAGGCTGAACCTCACTCTTTCCATCTTTAAAATGGAGATTATCACACTGAGGTTTGGCTATTGTTTGAGAAGCACTTGGAAGACCCTGGCTAGGGAACGCTGCATTTACTGCACAGGCCTGTGAGTTGCACCTTTGTGTCAGAGGGCAGAATGGGATCCAGGAATCCTGATCACACAGCTGTGCATCAGCCCAAAATGCTGCAGCTTTTGATTCTTAGGACTGCTTTAAATTTTGCTGCTAGAAGGAGTGGGTAACTTGTCCTGCTGCATCTGAGAGTGCACTATATATTGTGTCATACCTACTGCCTCTTTTTTCCTTAAAAGTAGGAGATTGCTTGCAGAACATGATGCAATATACAATATGCAAATAGAAGCAGCTTAAAATTTGTTCCTCTTGGGAAACTTTCTTCTGAATTGCATTTTGTCAAGATGCCTGAAGTCACTGAAGAGCCAGCCACCGTTCACTGGGGACCTAAGCAAGCTCAGTCCACTCTGTCTCAGGGCTCTGAATTTTCAGTTTGGTTTTAAAGCATCCATTGCCCTGGTACCTGGCTCAGTTGTTACGGCTCTGTGTCAGCACGTAGTTTTGCTCGTATCCTTTTGTGGGCTTTACCTCTGTGGTGCAGTCAAGCTTGGTGGGAACATGTACACTCCCACCTGGGCTATTTGAGCCCCTGCACAGATAGGATTTGACCCTCCTTATCCTGGTGATAGGTCCTTGGTGGATCACCTGGGGAATGACACCCTCCTTCTGGTGGCTGGGGACCATGGCATGACAGAGACTGGAGACCATGGCGGCGACAGCGAGAAGGAAGTGAATGCGGCTCTGTTTGTGTACAGCAAAACACCCCTGTTTGGCACTAGCCCTCCGGAGGTGAGAAGAAGCTGATCCTTAGCTGTCACTACCTGAGGTGGCATCTGGGGTGAAAACTGCATCCTGGGGTTACAGAGAGCAACGGTTTGATTGGGATTGTTTAGATTGAGAGGGATGGGGCGTCTGTCATCTTTCCTGAGAGAACAGTGGAAAGGCTGACACAGGATGCAGGTGACTGAAGTGTTTGGTACCCATGTTCAGGCCCCTCCAGCTGTGAGGGGTGTTTGCGTGGGGTCAGGTGAACTGTTAGACAGCTGGGGCCATACCCAAGGACCTGCAGGTCCCAGCAGGCATCCTCCCCTCCACAGGGTACTTTGGGAGGGCAGAGCTGTGCCTCTGCCATCCCCTGTGTTTTCCCACACCTGGCTTCCCCACGTTCCCCTCTGAATAGGGATGTCTTCCCCATCGTCCTCTAACCTGAGTAAAAAGCTGTGTTGCTGTGTTCTTTCCAAATTTCTGATTCCTCCCCTGCCTCTCCAGGAGCCTGAGGCCGTTCCCCAGGTGAACCTGGTGCCCACTGTGGCCCTGCTGCTGGGTGTGCCCATCCCCTACAGTAACATTGGGGAGGTGATGGCTGAGCTGTTCTCCGGGGATGGTGATGCTGTGTCTACAGCCTTGCAGCAGCTCTCAGTCTATCACATCAACGCCAAACAGGTACGGCCCACAGTAGGCCTCCCCATTGAACTAGAGAAGAGAAGGAATGTCTTTCTAAGCACAGACCTCTTTTGTTTGGTGGAGGTGGGGTGGGGACATGACGTTATCTTCGTGGGGAGCTTACATTGAAGAGTTACCTCCTTGCAGTGTTTGCTCTAGTAAAGGGCGGCACCATTTTCCCAAAAGAGAAAAGAGAGATACCTGTTTAGTGCTTGGTGGTGAGTGCTGTGGTGTGGAAAATACTGGCCGGGAAGGTGGCATTTGCTTCAGGGTGAGGGTTGGTCCCAGGTGGTCAGAGGTGGATTTGGTAACTGGGGAGGCTGGTTCCTCAAGGCTGAAGACGACTAGGGGCAAGTCTCATTAATGGAGATTCAAGAGTACAAATGGATGTTTTGATGCTGCTTCAGTTCTGGAGGAGAAACAACCTTAGCTAAAAAGCTATTCTAGATCAGTGGCGGAAGGAAAACAGTAATGAAGGACTAAATAAAAGAAATGGCATCTAACAGGTGACAGTAAAGTGGGATAGAGAAGGAACAGTTTACACCAAGTGCAACAGAATACAGAACCCCAAGAGCCGAATTACAAAACTTGAATGAGAGTGACAATACCAGGTATAAAAGAAGCCCAGGCAATGGAGCAGGCCATGTGCCAGGGCAAGCCAGAGCCTCTATGGAGGACATGAGAGCCGTCTGTTGTGGCTCTGGGCATGCTACAGAGCCAGATTTGCCACACACATTGCCAGGCATGTGTCTGAGCTGCATGTCAGCCTGCCTTTGAGGGACCTCTGGATTGCTAGGAGCGCAAGAATATCTCTTCCAGCCCCCAGACAGCAACTTGTTGTGCCAGGTGGACACCACTGGTGCAAGTCAGTGAGGAGCTGGAGAGGATATGATTGCTGATGGGAAGACAGAAATGTTCACCTCTCTGCTGCACAGTGCTTTGTCATTTAAAGGTGATAATGTACGTTACTGTCCATTAATCACTGAAGATATTGATCATCATCTATTAGGAATTAGTGTTATCTAGTCCTGCCTGTTTAAATATTTGCACTCATTTGTCTGAGGAGGTTGCTGGCTTTATCACGTTGGTGTTGAAGAAGCTTTTGCATACAGGGGAGGTCATGCAGGCCTGTGAGAGAGCTGCTGCATATGTTTGCCATTCATGGGCAGGGGCAGACTGATTCTGCCTGTGTTCTGAGGCAACTGAAAGGCATGTGAAGATACTGATGTGTTTCAGGGCTTGAGCAGATCTATGCTGCTGAGCAGCTGGATGTTTGTATAGGTGCCCTGCCCTGGTAATGCCCTTGTAAGACTTTTTTTACGACTTTGGGATCATAGCTGCCTCTGTGTCTGTCCTCTTGAAGCAGGAAGCAGAATGAGTTCTCCTTAGCCCATGGTACAGTGGGTTAATGTGCCTGTATTGAAGAAGAGGGAGCAGTTTGATTTGACCCACTATAAGCTCTTTAATTTGATGTCTATTCTCAGACAAACAATGTAGAAGTCGACATTGGGTGCAGATTAATAGCTAGTAGTGACTCGAACTTCTGGGGGATGTTTGCCTTACTGTTACCAAAGGCTCTGTATAAAAGCCCTTAGTGGTGGACAGCATTACCAGAGGTGCACCTGCAGGTGAAGAACTGAGAGGAGTCAGTGTGGCTGTCGGGATGTATACGTCACTTGGGCGGGATGTCACTTTGGTACAGGGATTGTGCTTCCTGCTGTTCACATCCTGGCTTTGGCTGACCAGCCCTGGGCGATGTGGCTGGGGACAGGTCTGTCCTGGCAGGGGTTGGCAGACTGGGGCTGTTTCCATTCTGAAGGGGCTGTGTGAGGCACTGAAACCTGTTCCTAGTGGTCCCAGTGCCACTGTCTAACCCTGTGTCCCCTCTCCTGTAGGTGGACCGGTTCCTGCACTCCTACTCGCTGGTGGCTCAGGACCTGCCAGCAGAGCAGCTCCAGCGCCTGCAGGAGCTCTTCTCCGGCGCCATGGAGGAGCACACTCAGCTCTTGGCCCAGGTGCAGGGGGAGACACTGGTGCCTCCAGAGCTGGAGTCCAGGCTCGGAAGCCTCATCAGTCGCTTCCAGCTCTACCTGCGAGAGGCACGGGCTGTGTGCACCCAGTCCTGGGCACGCTTCCATCCCCTGCGTATGGTGGGGGGCTGCACCCTTATTGCTGCTTCCTGCTTGCTCTGCTATGTGGCCTCAGAGCTGGCCGCATCATCAGGCTCTTTCTATCGCAGCTGCCTCCTGTACCCACTGCTATGGGGCCTTGTGGTGGCTGTTCTGCTTGGGCTGGCCCATGCATTCACCCAGGAGGGGCTGGATCTCCTCCTGGTGTTGTCATGGGCAGCTGCTGCTTCTCAGCTGGGTTTTTTCTGGCACTGGTGGGGCCAGTATCCCAAGCGAGCCCGTTTGGTGGGCAGTCAGCCACCCTTGGCCACCGTTAGTCTGAGGCAGAGGCTGCGAGCGTGGCTGAGGCTGGCCTTCCCCATGGGCATCCTGCTCTTCCGCTGCGGAGCTATGTTCTCTGATAGCTTTGTGGTGGCCGAGGCCCGGGTAGCCCCGTTCCTGCTGGCCTCACTGGTGATGTTGCTAGTAGGGAAGCTCCACTGGGACGGTCGTCTGACTGTGCCAGAAGGCCCCAAGCAGCAGCTCCTTGGCTTTTCTTCTTATCGGAGAGAGATCTGGTACCTGCTGTGTCTCGTGGCCATGCTCCTGGTCTGTGTGCGCCTGTCCGGTTTCTTCCATCAGTGCCGCGAAGAAATCCCTCAGTGCCGGCCCTCTCTTTTCCTCTCCCCCCTTGCCAGCCTGAGAAACACACGGGCCAAGAACCTCTTCTACCTCCTGTGCGTGGCCTTGCTGGCCGGGCTGGTCTATGCAGTGCGGAGCTGGCTGCGACACTATGGCAACCTGAACAGCTCGGACCCCCTCGTGCTCTTTGTGCGCTGGTGTTTCCCACTGGTGGTCCTCTGCATTGCCTGCTACTGGGCTGTTGCCTCCAGCGCTGACGACTCTCTCGGCAAGCTGCAGGAGCTGGTGCAGGTGGCAGTTGTTGCCTTTCCATGGGCTGTTTACGGACTAGCATCCATGGGGCTGCTGCTCCTACTGTGCAATCCCATGACGGTGTTTGCAAAGGACACACGGGAGTCGGCAGGATCCATTGTCACTCCCTACCTGGGGGTTCCCAGCTCTGAAGTCGACTTCCTCCACGTCATCCCTCAGATCTACAAGAGGATGCAGGAGTCTCAGAAGAGCCGCCTGGAGCGGGGCAGCTGCAAGGCCACTGTCGCAGCTTATGGGCTGGGCAGCGTGTACTCGGCAGCCCTGGTCATAGCACTCACCCTGCTGGGCTTCCTCTTGATGCTTCTGCACAGCGAGCGGTTGAGTCTTGCCTTCCTTCTCCTCTTCCTGGAGGCCTTTGTGCTGCTGCACATCCACACCCGTGCCAAAGGCCTTGCTGGAGATGCTGGTGAGTCAGGGCTCAGTAGAACATCCTCTGGATGTGCGACCTGGGCCTTACGTGCAGCGACCTTGTCTTATTTCCAGTGGGAGAGGCAAGGTCCAGTCTCTGCTCTTGGGGAATGGCAGTGCACTGATCCTCAGGGGATCCTCCTAGCTTTTTTAGAGCTGCTTAAATCCTCTAGTAGAAGAGAGATGTGTGCAGCAGGGACATAATGTGGGAGGAGGTGGAGTCCCTTGTATCAGGGAAGGGGGCTCTACTCTCATCCCTTCTTCCGAGGGTGCAAGCAGCCACCAAACCCCATTGCTGCTGACAGAGTCCAGTAGCAGGACAAGCAGCAGAGGGAATGCTTGGCCCCTCGCTGTATCTGTGGTGGGAGCCTGACTGGCTACTGTCTCTCAAAAGAGAGAGCATGGAAAGGGAACCTGGAAGAAAAGTCAGTAGGGTTTTTTTGTGCCGTCGATCTGTCTTGTTCCTTGATGCTGATCTCTCTCTCTCTTTTAAAATTTTTTTTGTCTCTCAGAGCCTTTTTCGGTGCCCTGGTATGCAGTCATCTCCTGGCTCCTTGCTGCTTCCCAGTTCTTCTATTCCACAGGCCACCAGCCCATCTTCCCGGCCATCCACTGGAATGCAGCCTTTGTGGGCTTCCACCTTGACCACAGCACGAACCTCCTGCCTGCTGTCCTGGTGGGCGCCAACACGTTTGCCTCCCATATCCTCTTTGCAGGTAATTCAGTTTCTTCCTGGGCTGTTGAGCCTGAGCAGGCATGGCTCATCGCTTTGCCTTGTCTGGAGGTTTGCAGGCTGAGCACAAGGTGTTGAAGGCTCCGGCACCAGCTGAACAGCAACATCCTTGCTGTCCCCTTCTGGGGCCACAGAGCTGCCCGTGGCCTGCAGCCTCCATGCAGTTGTGCCTGAACAGCAAACTGGAACTGGGGTATATGCTGCCTGCACGTCCAGGGCATGATGGTGGAGCCTAGGCTGCTCCTCACCTCCTGGGCTCCAGTAACTTCATGTGCCTTTGTCCTTGAGGTAGTCGGCTGCCCTCTGCTCCTGCTTTGGCCCTTTGTGTGTGAGATGCCCAGCTCGCAGAGGAAGAAGCCCAGGAAGGAGCCCCAGGAGGAGCTGCAGGAGGTGGAGGAGCACATGATGGAGATGAGGCTGCGAGAGTCCCCGGAGAAGTTCTCCACTGCTCTGCTGCAGCTGGGGCTGAAGTACCTCTTTGTCCTTGGGACACAGGTATGGACAGAGGCAGGATGGCTGTGAGGAAGGCTGTCTAAGAGGAAATTGGTGTGTTGTGCAAACCGTGGGGCACTCCAATGAGAGAAAGTGGTCAGCCAGGGCACAGACAGGCCCAGGGGTGCTATGTCTGGTTGCAGGTGGAAGATCAGCTGCACAGGTCCTGTTCTCAGCCGTGCCATTTGCTCTGTGCTTTGGGATGCGCTCCAGCACGGAAGCCGCAGTATGGATTAGGCTGCTTTTTGTACCCATCTGCCCAGAGTGGGAGTGTCTGTTCAGAAACTGCAGGGTTGTAATCCTGCTCCCCTTCTTCCCGACAATGCGTATATATTTTGCACCAGCTCTGGTTTTTATCTGATCCTGTGCTGTGGTGATACAGGGAGCTAAACACCAGAAATTTAATCCCATGAATGAAGTTAATAACTTTCTGGGGTTTAGCCCTTCAAATCATTCTCCTGTGTGGTCAGACCAGAGACAGTGCAAGGCAGGGGGCATGCCCTGCAGCAGGAGAGCAGGAGTGCCCCTTTCAGTGAAAGATTGGGTCAGGTTAGCCACAGTGTGAGTCCTCCTCTGTGCTGTCCCAGCCTGGCCCCAGGAGGGCCTGCGTGTACCCCAAGCTGCTTGTGTTTCCTGACTTGAGGACACGATGGACAGGAGTCCTTTTTGGGATGCTTGCTTATTTCTATTGTGCGCTGTACCAACCTTTCAGATGTGTGCAGTTTAGTACCAACTTCAGAGGTGAACCTAGCGCCCAGGAGGTCTCTCCAGAGTCACTTGTAACTTGTTTTTCCTGATCTCCCCCACAGCTTCTGGCCTGTGTTTGTGCAGCTATGATCCTCAGGAGGCACCTCATGGTCTGGAAGGTCTTTGCCCCAAAGTAAGTCCCAGAAGTTGCTCTGATGCTGGGTTAGGGCTCATCCCTGATATCTTGAGTTCATAGGCAGTAATGTTGGAAGAGACCCTGTGATCGATCTTCTGACTTCTTACCTAGCAGAGGCTGTAGGACTGTCCCTAACTAATTCCTGCTTCAAGTTCAGAAGCTGGACTTGAGCTAGAACCTAGAAATTTGTCCTTATCTTGATTTCTAAGGACACACAGAGTCCACCTGCAAGCTAAGGATATTCAGGGCGGAGAGCCAAAGGTGAGGATACCAGACCAGAAGTGGTAAACCCAGAAATGCTAAACTAGCAAACCTTTGGAGTAGGTAGGAGTGTGAGGTGGCCTTGGCCTCTGAGAGATTCAAAATCCAACCTGGGTGTTGTCCTGAGCGGCCTCTAAACCAGAGGCATGCTTGGCTTCCAGGTTGCAGGCAGCAACTGCTGGGGAGTGAATGTAATTCAGGGTTTAGGATCTGGGGTGCTACCAGCCTCTCACTGTCAGGAAAATCAGTCTGCTGGGAGTGAGGGTAGCAGCCTGTCTTTGCAGGCATGCTGGCTGTGATATCCTTACCACGTCTGTTGTGCCTGCAGGTTCCTCTTTGAGTCACTGGGCTTCATGGTGAGCAGCATCTGCCTGCTGCTGGGGATCTCCCTGGTGATGCGTGTGGACTGTGCCGTCAGCACCTGGTTCAGCCAGCTTCAGCTCAGGTAGCATTGGAGATGTGGGGAACCCGACCTGCTCATCGGCCGAGGCTGTGGTTGTCTCCTTGCCTCCCTCGGGCCGGGAGGGGTACATGAGCCACCAGCGACGAGTGCCTGCTGACAGCAGTCAGGGATTATCCCCAGCTCCTTTGCCTCAGCGCTGCATAAAAGTACTGTAGCGAACTGTTCTCTGCTCATTGTGGTGGTGTTTCTCAGCAGTGGAGGTCAGAGCTCTCTCTGGGCATTTGTTGGCAGCAGGAGGACTCTGCTGCAGGAGCCCAAGAAGCAAGAGTCCTGAAGTGCACCTCTGGAGAAACACCAACTGGGGGTCTTGCTGCTGCTTTCCTGACAACTGTCCCCGCTGTGCAGCTGGTCAGCTTCAGTGGCCAGCAAGGTGTCACCTTGCTTGTGCAGAGACAGTGACTCACAGGGAGGAACCTGCTGAGGAGGGGAGAGGAGGTTGCGAGGAGAGGGAAAGTCCTGCAGCCACCAATTCTCTTTGCATGCTCAGTTTTCGTGCTGGAATCAAAGTGCACATGGTTACACATGCAGATGGTTCCTGGGGTCTCGGTGGCAGCTGCTCCTCTGTAAAGTCAGTTGGTTGCTCTGTAGTGAGGCCTCTCCTGCCCTACACTCACTCCCATTTTTCTGGTCTTCCTTAGCCCCGCAAAGGGCCGTGGGGAGCACTCTGGGCTGCCTCGTACAGTCTGAGCAGGCTTGGCTTGTTGCGGGGATGGCAGCAGGGAGAACTCTGTCCATGACCAAGAAACTCTCCACTCGTGCTCTTGGCCTGTCAGTATACCTGTGGGCTGGGCTGTAGCAGCTGGGGCTCCCAATCTCTTCCTAAGCATGTGGTGCTGGATGCCAGCTATTGATTGTTAACGGTTGAGATGCAGCAGGATGTAGTGACAGAACATTGGTTCACCCCCATATTGGGTCTGGTCAAGAGGAAAGGGGAATCTGGAGTAGCTGTCCCAACTGTAGGAGTGGCCTTGGTGTGAGCTCCGGTGCCTGGGAACAGCTGCTTGAAAGCCCTGAGCGGGCGACAACTCTTCTGGGAGGTGGCTTAACTCACTGGTGTCTGTGTATGTGCTGGGGGTTATGTCAGCCTGAAGGGATCCCAGGCACTGCAGCTGATGGCATCTATGATGGCGTATTTGGTGCTTATCTCCTTCTTGACCTTGGTGTTCTGTGTTGGACTTTATCCTGCAAGTGAGCTACCCCAAACCCACCCTTGACTGCTCACAGTCAAGAGACATTGTATTTCTTTATGAGTAGAGGAAGAGGACAGTGACCATGGTGCCTGGCCACATCCCAGCTAAGTTCCCCCTGCAGTTTTGATGGGAGCTGGGATTCCTTACTGCCTTGAACCACTGTGGTGTTACTTGGTGCTATGAAACCTTTTGTCTCTTTCCCCTCTGGAAAGTGCTGAGGACAGCTTGCCTGGGATTCCTGTATTGATTTTTGATCTGATACCATTTGTTTTTTAACTCAGGCACCATGACTGCCCCATTAGAGTTCCTCACTGCAGACTGCTGGCATAACTCCAGGCTCCTCCTGTCCTCTGCCCTGGAGAGTCCCAGGGAAAGCATCTCATCACCTCTCTCATCATTTCAGTTCTTGCTGTTATGCCCAAGTGCTCAGTCACTGTGGAAAATGGCTCTTGAGGGCAGGGTTAGTTCTGTATTTTACCCCTGCAAAATGCTTGCTCAGGTGTTAGAGTGCAATTCCAGGAAAGCTTAAACTGCTCTAATTTTTTATTTCCATTGCCTGGCCTCCTTCTGACCTGCTGGCTGTCCTCTCCCACCTCAGCCTCGCATCTCTCCTGCCCTGTGGGCCTATCCTGCTTATTTTCACCCAACACAGCCAGAGACTGGTTTGTAGCTGGCATGACTCCCTGGGCTGCCTTGCCACCTGGATGCATGCACACCAGTGCTAGTGCAAGGCAAGGGGTAGCAGCATGCAGCAGGGGAAGCTGGAGTGGGCAGGAATGCATCATCCCACAATATGATGGGCTTATGCGGTCCCACTCTTAAAAATAGGTTATTTGCTCTATACTGTGACTCCTTGGTGGCCATGTTGTTGTCCCACAGACGGGGTTCATTTACCCGGTGTGCAAGCCAGTAACACACAGAGTCAAGGTATTTTCAAATTAATTTCATTGATGCGCATGAATGGTTGTCTGTCTCAAGACAGCACACCCTTGTCTCAAAAATTCTGACGTTTATACACTTAACTAACATAGATTCATTGCTATGTTCCTTAATGATTGGTTCTTTCTTCTTTGCCCCTTGCAAATTAGTGCACAGACTCTGTCTTCTTCCTTCATTGTCTTCTTTTGAGTAGGTGGTTATCATTTGACTAAGTGGTCAGTGAGTCGGTGGTCACAATCTCTCCGTGTAGGAATTACCTTTTACCTACTTCTTCCGTAATCTTAGCAGTTCCAAGCGGTTCTTCAAGGTTTATTGACCAGACCACAATCTGTAACCTTTTTGGACAGAAACATAAAGCCCCATTATCTAGTAGGTAGTTCTTAAACCCTAAATCATGTCTAGTTATTGTTTCCCTATTTTAAATATTAACAGATGAGGGCTGGTCACAGGACTTTAGCAGCTCCCTGGTTATTTCAGTCATATCACACATATTAATTGATAACAATGTGGTTCTTGATGCTGAGGGGGCCATGCTGATGGGTGAGGGGTGCACCAGTGTGGATAGGAGGAAGGGAATGGAGGTAGCAGCCACCCAGTGAATTTTCATTTAATGTGTGGTTAGTCAAGATAAATATGTTGCTAAACCCCAGGGCTGGAGCCCAAATAGGTCTTGTTGTAACCTCGTAACCTGGTTGGGAGCTTGCTGCCTGCATGTATTTGTGCTGGCAGAAATCCTTATGGTCACTAATGCTGTAGAACTGGCCCTTGACGTCCCCGCAGCTGCCACCCAGGCCCCTGGGCTTCCTTCTCTCCCATCTCTTGGACTAGTTCCTCTTTCAGTAGTCACCACAACGCTGCTGAGCCTGTCCAGCCCATTGTTTGTGGTCGGAGCGCTCAGCTGGCACTTGGGCATCCTCTCCTCATCTCTCTGTATCACCCCTCTACCTTCCTGCTGGGGCTGTGGGCTCACGGCCCCCGGAGGCCAGGGCAGAGCAGCAGAGCTGCAGCGCCATGAAAACACGCACACTTACCTCACCGGAGACTAAACAAAACCTTGCGGTAACAAAGCTGCAAGTCCATTCTTGTAACTGCAGAGATACCAAGGAGGGCTAGCTGCTTGGCCAAGGCAGACTGGCCACTACACCAAAGAATTCAGATTCAAGAAGATGAGTTTTCCAAGGGATGGAGGTGCTCTTGCTTTCTTTCATTGACTTTTTTAGTCTTTGCTGGCCTTCCCCAGCTGCCCTCAAGATGATTGTTTGGCTGCCATTCTCCTGAGTGTGCCAGAGATGACAGAGTTAACGTTGGTCCAAGGCCTGGCAACCTTGGTGCTGCTGATGCTAGAGAAGACATGGCTGCGTTTGCTGATCAGTCATCCTCAGCCTGCTCAGCAGAGCAGTTTCCATCCCGCACTCCAGAAAGCTGCTGTGCTTTGGGCTTTTGCAAGTGTTGTGTGTGCGCTCCTTGGCAGGGCTCCTGCCCAGTGCCCTGTCCCTCTGGGCAGGGGAGAGCTCCGCTGGGAAACTTCCCTGTCTCAGGCTGGAGGCAGGATGGTGTGTCACCTGGAAAAGGGTGACTGACGGCCGCCACCACTGTGAAAGGTTGTGGCTGTTGGGACCGTCTCCCCGCTCTGATCCGTGGCGCTGGCCCCGCTCTGATCCAAGGGCTGCGGGGAGATCAGGGCTCGGTGTATCTCCGTTCCCACGCCTGTTTCTCCATCCTGTCTCTCTCTTCTTCCCTCAACACTTCAGGCTGCTTATTTACGCCAAGGCACGGTCACATTCTCAGTGTGTGTGTCTCCCCTTCCCCTTGGGGAAGCAGGGCTGGGGAGCGCTGCCTTCTCCCCCAAGCTCTGACCTGACCCTCCACATGGCTTGGAGCGAGATTGTTGTTTTATTTTTTGTTGTTAACCTCTCTGTGCCTCAGTACCCCATTTGGGATAAAAAAAGGGGATGGACCCAGTTCTGGAAAGCAGTTTGGGAGCTTTGCATGCATCGTGGTGCTCCACTTCCCTGGGTATCTCTACATATCTGGCTGTTAATGCTTTTGTTCCCATTCAGCAGCTACACCGGGAAGGTGGAAGTGATGCTTGAGTCTCTGCTAGGAACTAGAACCTTTTTTCCTTCAGAAAAAAAACCACCAAAACCCAGGCGTGTTGGCAGCACCCGTTCATCCGACAGCTTCGCCTCCGGCCTGCCGCCGTCCTCGGGGCCGGTGCCCCTCACCGCTGACCTGCCTCGCCGGGGGCTGCGCCGCGCGGGAGGCAGCCAGACAGGGGTCGCTTCGTTATTAAATGACTAATTAATTAATT